AAAACCAACCAATCCCTGTGCAGAAAACCAACCAATCCCTGTGCAGAGACAAGAATCAATCCCTGAGTAGAAAACCAACCGATCCCTGAGCACGAGCTCTACCAAATCCGAGCTCAAGGGACTGAAATCTTATCAATTCCCACCCTGAAAATCTTCTCCCTGGAAAAACTTGGCCCCTAAGAAACCCTATATAACTTGCTGCTGCCTCCTTCCACCTGGCACAGGCTGCCACTCTCCTGGATTCTTCCCTCCCAATGAATCTCTTGAATGAGGTTTGAGTGAGACCTACCTTCACAGCAATGCACTTTTCGTGGGAGCCAGAGCAGAGCAGAGCAGGGCTGTAACACTTTGGCTGGGGAAACCTTCCCCCTAGCAGAGCGGAGTTACTACACTCCTGCACTCCAGGGAACAGGAGCTGGAGCCCAACCTGAGCAGAGAGCCGTTACACTGGGGAAACCTTTCCCTAGACCAGAGCTGTAAGCTGCTGTTTGCTATGACCTGTGGTATTCCTTAGCTCCTAATCGCCAGAATACTCTTCCATCCGAACCGGAACACTCAATATTCCCTGGCCCCGAGTCCCAGACTTTTCCACCCAGGTTGTAACACTTAGCACTCCTTGGTTCCCAGTTGCCAGGATCCCTTTCCATTCAAGCTGTGATGCTTAGAATATTCCCACTGCAAACGAAATGCTTGCTAAGGCACTGGCTTCCTCGTGTGTGCATTTCTCAAGACCCTAATCTGCGGTAGGCCAGTTCTCCACTGTGCTCATCCCCTGTGACCCTCAGGTTCAAAGTGCTCCAATCCATCTATCCACCACTCGGTCTATCCATCCACCCCACGGACAGGGGTAAACACTCTTAGAGACAGAGACTAGCTCAGCCCTGCCCTCAGCTCAAGCTCTTCCCACACTAACTGCCCTTCGTCCTCTCTACTTGCCTAAATGCTATCTTAGGTTTAGTTCAAGCCCAAGCACTTCCACGGTCCCCCATCTGCTCACACTACTCAGGACTAGGCACAGGCCAGTAAAGACCTGGAGAAGCAGTAAGGGGAAAAGACAAGAGTAATTGTAATCGCCAGCTCCTAATCACATTATCTAAACATTTTCTTATGTATAAGCAAAGCCTAGGAAGTAGAGATCTGTACTCTCTTGAGTTAGCTGTGTGATCATAATAAACAAGCCATTCAGTCTGGAATGGTTTCCCATCTGTGGGGCAGGAGGAGGATGTGGATTGTAAATGTTCTCCAAGGTACTGTCCTGGCCCAGGCTTTCGAAGCCGAAGCTTTGTCGACCTCTGAGAATTGAGAACTAACACCCACACCTTTCCCTTCCAATGCTCAAGGTTTCCTTTCTGCAAATGTCCCCAGTGTGTGGGGAGCCCGTGGAGGAAGCATCTTTTCTCTTTGAAATTGCTTTTCATCCTGGGACATGCCCCAGTCCCAGCCTTAAGAAGTCATTATTTCTTAACCCACTCTAAACTTCTACGGGTCTCATCGCAATCGAACTATACGATCAAAACTGAAGTCCACTTCCAGACTGGCCCGTTTTCCCCGCCTGAGTCGGAGGAGGAACAGGGAAAGAAGAGGTTAAGGGAGAGGGCGACACACTCTGGAAAGTCCTGGAGGCCACCTTGAGGGCCTGGTACGACTCTGGAGGTGAGAGCCCCGGGCTGAGCGGGTACCAGGTCAACCGGAGGAGATTGGTACAGGGAGTCTGGCTGTACCTGCTAGGGAGAGGCTGAGAGCGCGGGACGGGGGCGAGGGGTTCTTGAGAGCCCAAGCGGCCTGAGCAGGAGTAGGGGTAGCAGGCGCTGAAGCCTCGGTGTCCCGCGTGCGAGCCCGGGGCGAACAAGGGCGGAGCCGCGAGCGGGGCTCCAGGGCTGGAGAGTAGCAGACGCAGAGCGGCTTCCGGCGGGGCCGCGCCCTCCCCACCATCAGCACCGGGCGGAAGGGGTGGCTGTCACGGCGCCCTATCCCGGGGGAAGCGCGGGTGGAGAGGGCGGCCTGGGAACCGCTCTGCGCTGTGTGTATGCGGATGGGGGGATGGGGGACCGGGGCGAGCCGGGCGTGCGCCCCTGTCGGGTTCTGCCCCTCACTGTAAGACCGCCTGACTGCGGCACCCATCTCCTAGAGTGGCGACCGCTCGTCCGTGGTAGCGCTAGACTGTTTGGGTCTGCATGCTCTTCACGGAAGTGACTCTAACGGGAACTTAGAAGGGAACTATTAGCTTCTCGCCCCTAAATTATGACTCTGGAATTATTAATACTCTAAGGTAGCGAAGGACGCATTGAGGCAAGATGTTGTGGTCCAAGTATAAGCCTGCGCCCCTGGCCACTGTCCCCTACCCTCGACCCAACCCAGGACAACTGTCCCCTGAGACCCGAAAGGTGCAGTTCGAGCGCTTGAGCATCAGGACCATCTTAAACGGGAATATCTGCTTCCGTACAACCACCCCACACTCTCATCGTAGATCCTGCCTTGGCTCGTTGGACCTAAGCAAGATCGACAGCTGTTTATCCTAATTTCAGACCCAACTCCAAAAATTAACTTTTAGGAGCTGTGCTGGGAGTTGGGCCTCTCTTCTGACGCGGTTTCGAAACAGACGGGAGAGAAAGGCAACCTTCTTTAGGAAGAAAAATTGGATCAAATAGTTAACCTCTCCTATTAACGTTGGCAGTGACTTTTGCCATAAATAAATCTCCTGTTAATCTTAAAAATAATGAAGGCGGCATTTTTATTAAGCAAAAAAATAAATCACGTTTTAGGATGATGGATACATGTTAAAGCAGTAGGGGGACTGCTTTGAAGGGCAAACATCAAATTGTAAATGATTACAGTTGCCCCTCAGAGGGAACAAGAGAGATGAAAGAAATTTTAAATGTTGGTGATTTTTGTTTTGTTTTTTTTTTGGGGGGGGGACGGTTTCCACTACATCCCAGGCTGATCTCAAACTCATTCCTCCTGTCTCCACCTTGAGAATGCTGGAATTTCCATTTTGCAACACCACATCTGGCTTACATCTGTTAGGATATTTTTCTGTATTATATATAAAGAGATTTTGAGAAAAAAATAGAAGCCAGAGGTTGCCACTCTGGTTTCATAGACCTAGAGTCTTTATGGTACTCTTGCGGTTTTAGAACAATGACAGGTCCTTTTGTAAACATAATTTTATATCCTTTCTTTAAAAACTGACTTCATCATCTACGAACAGGGCTGCGAATGTCCACGTACATCCATGCTTCTGGGATCAGCTTTCTTCTAGTTGGAACGATGAAAGTATGAGACCCTGGTCCCAGATGCTCTCCCACCTCTTTGTGGATAAACTGTTTTAAGAGAACAGATTCACCGATAATCAGAAACCAGGATGCTTAAACAAAGCTTTGACACTCCCTAGGCCTGACTATGTCACGAGTGCCCGTTTACACAGTGACAGCTACAGGTTTAGGAAATGTGTACTAACAGGAAGTCGTTAATATGCAAGGGCCGGGTGGGCTCTCTAGCAGAAATTCACAGCAAAGCGGCCTCAAGGGTCAAAGGGCAAGAAAGCACAGGCTAGGATCCTGTGTAAATTCATCAAAATAAATTAAGACAGTCAGATGTGGTGACTCGTACCTGTTATTTCAGCATCTGGAAACCCAGGGTTAGCCCTTCCATTCCCCATACTGCCACTTAGAAAAGCTGTATGGCTTGCAGCTAAACTTTGATTACTTTAAAGGCACAAAGCCTGATTTTTTAAAAATATCTTTTGTCCCACCAGTAGGCATAAGCATCCCTTTTGTGACCATGTAAAAGGAGTATTTAAAGAAAAATATTATATAAAAAAGCAAAACTTAGATATGCACCATAATTTTAAGAAGTGGGCAGTGATTCCAAAAAGTAAACAGGCAGGGAGGCTTGCTGGTGACCACACTTGATGACCTGGCATCTGACTGTTAGGGAACGCTTTATCCTCCCAAGCAGAACGGAAAAACTGCTTGCTGCTGGGGAAGTCCTTGCTGCTGCCCCCGGCTGCCTCCCTGGGTGCAGTGGCTGGTTCCCCCAAGCCAGGGCTTCCCAGCCTTTGGGAGAGACCTGCCAGGACATTTTGAAATCTTTGCTGGTGAGTTCCAGCAAGTGGCCTCTACTGCTGCCTTCATGTTTTTGCTGGCTTTCCAGCATGCCTGTTGCCCCAAGCCCAGCTTCATTTCCCGAACTTGCAAGGCCTTCTCTGCTCCAGCCAGTCACACACTAAGGGACTTCACTGGCCCCTGGGCTCTCAGTAGATGAAAACGCAGCCTTCAGGGGAAAACAAACCGAACAGGAACAACGGCTGCTTTGTTGGAGTGATTTTTCTTCCACTGTGCCCAACTGCTTCCACTGACCTTCCCGGACTAGCCACAGGTAGTTCGCTCTCGTTGCTGGGTCTAGATGACTCCTGGCCGCGTGCAGTAAAGAAATTTTAGCAGGAGACATTTAGTTGTCTTTCCTGTCTGCTTCTCCACCCTCGGACCCCCTCATTCCTGGGTCATACTCCATCCTGAAACTGCTCTTAAAGGGAACTCCTGGAGCTTAGGGCGTGGCACCTTTAAAGAAGTCACGGGCCATCTGAGGAGGCACTCAACTAAGCCCCAACAGAAATATGCCAGAGGCTCAGGGGAGATGCCCTCTGAAGTTCTGCAGCCATATGAACCCCACCCTCCCGCAGAACCTTCCAGTGGACAAAGCCCTTCCCTTCCTGAAACTGGTTCCATGGGTCCTCACTAGCTATGGTGAAAATGTGCTAGGACAGACAGAGAGAACATTCTGTGTAATTACCTTGGTATACAGTTCTAAATGTGCAAGCAACTCAACAGAGGAAGAAGACAGAGAGGCTGGAGTTGGGAGGGGGCAATTTCAGAAGCCATGGAAATGCTAGGGGCGGGTACTCAGGTGTTCACCATCTCCATCAGTGATGGCTTGTATGTGTATCCGACTGAATATTTTAAATATTTGTAGCTTTTTACTGTGTTGTGTTGATCTTGTTCTTGTTTGGATTTTGTTGTTGTTGTTTTGTTTTTCAAGACAGAGTTTCTCTGTTTAGCTCTGGCTGTCCCAGAATTTGCTCTGCCTTGCCTCCCAGGATCTGGGATTAAGAGCATGTGCCACCATGTCTGGCTGCTTTTTGCTATGTTTTAATTTTTACTATATTTTACTATATCTCAACAAAGTTATTAAAATTAAATAATTATGTACACAAATCTTAAATCTTGCCCTCCCTAGAAAGACATAGTGCAGGGGAAATTCCACTTTTCATTTAAGTCATGAAGTTTCTCTTTAGTTTTATGAACAGAATTAAGTTTCCCTGTTCAGCAAAACCATGACCTTCTGCTCAGGATCATATTTATAATATTATGTTGATATTATGCTGTGAATACAAAAGAAAAGGCAGGTTCACTTTTCAGGAAAAGTCCACAAGAAGGAAAAAGGAAAGGAGAGGGTAATAAGGGGAGGGGGGACTGAACACTTGCTTCATTTTAGGAAGCTTGCGCTGCAATACCCTACTAAGTCTTTCACACACTCTGCACTCACTCGCCAGCCATTTCTAATCACAGTCCCCGTGACCACACTACCCTGTCCCCAAAGCACCAAGACCCTTGACTCTTCCTATCTGATCGCTGTCTCCTTATTCCTCTTCTCAGAGAAAATGAAATCATAAAGTCCAAAGAGTGGCATTTCCATCTGTGTTCTGTCCAGCAGAGGATGGGGTGTCACAGCCAAATGCAACTCCTGGTGCCTGGAATCCTGCAACCCCGGGGGCATTTAGTTTCTAGGACCAGCAAGAGGTCCCTGCAATAAGCCTCCAGACTATCTTCACACCAATAAGATTCAGATCGGGTGAGAGGTCTTTCTTTTTAAATAGGGGCAAGACCCAAATCCTCTCACTGTCGGTAAATTTTATATATAGAAGTAAAAATCCGGGAGTTGATTTTTTTAAAATTATCAGGGTCACACTCTTTGAAAAGGATGCCCACAGGGCTACCACTTTCCCAGCTGGAAGACCCTGCCTTTGTCCTTCTGATAAATCTTCTGGCAAGGAGGCCTAACAGGACACCAGCAGGAATGATGCTTGGGGAGGGGGACTTCTCAGGTCCCATCAGCCAGCCAGAGCTTGCTGATAGCCTGGGCCTGACTGCAGAAGGGCAGTGTTGACAGGACAAAGCCTGCTTCCCACCTCTTCCTTTTGTATGCTCTCCTTTGCTTCCTAGCCTAGGAAGGCCCACAGATCTCAGGCCCTGTCAAACTCCTTCATCAGTCTACTTCAACAGACCACAGTGCCTTCAGCAACACTGAAAGTAAAGTAGAGACAGCAACTTAATTTGTGATTTTTTTTCTTTTGGTCAGAAAAACTTTGCTTCCTAGTAACATTAAGTCAGTATTTTAGACATTTCTTGTTAGGAATAGTCTTTTTACATTTTTTTTAATATTTATTTATTATGTATACAATATTCTGTCTGTGTCTTTGCCTGCAGTCCAGAAGAAGGCACCAGACCTCATTACAGATGGTTTTGAGCCACCATGTGGTTGCTGGTAATTGAACACAGGACCTTTGGAAGAGCAGGCAATGCTCTTAACTGCGTTAGGAATAATCTTAAGACAACCTTCTCCGCCGACACAAATAATTCCAAATTATTATTATTCAGACCAAATTAGACCAAATCAAAGATGCCCACATTTAATAAATGTTCTACCTGGGAACATGGTGAGGGAGAGAGAGAGAGAGGGAGGGAGAGAGAGAGAGAGAGAGAGAGAGATGGATGGGGTGGGAACCACGCAAAACCCAAAGACCACGTGTTCCGTGGCAACCTAAATAGACTGTGAGAGTGGTCCTGACCTTTCCTGGGGAGGGGTCAGCGTGTGGCAGGCATTCCCAGAGGTGGACCAAGGCCACTCCCAGGAGAGGGGACTTGAAATGGAGTTTTTTGTTCCATTGGTTCTTCAAGGATGAGTGCCAGGGGCTGGGGTGATGCTTTCAATCAATCATCCCAGATTCCTTGGATACAGGAGTGTTAGAGGGCTGGGATCTCACTTTTAATCAAATATCCTATAGTCCTTAAATGTAGGGGTGGTGGCTCAAGTCTGGCTACTTCCTGCAGGCATGGGGCAACATGGTTGGGGGTAGCTGGGAGTTGGTGAGCTCATGCTCAGTGAGAGGTGTGGCTAGAGCAGCATCTGATTTACTGTCATCCTGAAGTCTTCAGGCAGCTGCTTTTTGAGGGAGATGAGAAAACAGGTGGCTAGGAGAAAAAAAAATGTTTTTTGTCCTATGAAAGGGGCTAGCCATGGGAAGTCATTAGTTGCCAGAAAGAATGGGACAGAGGAGTGCCCTGGCTGTACAGGTGGGGCTTGGGTGTATAATTGGGACACAATAGCATATAAAACCAGATTTTAGCTGGTAGATGTCCTTGATCCAGGAGAGTTGATCGAATGGTAAAGTCCCAGGAGTTGGTGCAGGTGTTTGGCATTGTCTGGAGCGTGCTTTGTCTTGGCCCAGACAGCAGAAATGACCTGTAAAATATGCTTGAAACTGGGTGAGGTTAAAACAGGCTCTGGAGTCTGTTAGCCTTTACCAGACTTTTGAAAACACAGTAGAACTTTTTCCCGGAAACTGTATGTATCTGCCAAATGCCATTAGACAGACAACTAAAGCGAGTTGGAAACTCTGGATTTTTAAGATGTACCTAAAACCTGTTAGTCATGGACTATGAAGCCTATGAAAGAGGCACACCTGTCTGTATTTTTGTAGGAGATTTAACAAATGAAGTAATGAGCTACTAGTTCCTTAAGTCATCAAATGCCATTAGACAGATCTGGGTGGGATAAATGAACAGAAATGAGACAGCATTTTAGCTACACTGGCAATCCCAAATCCTCTCCTTAGTCCTTAGAGAACACCAGTCTTAGAAACAGTGCTTGCTGTTAGCTGCTGAGTATGAAAGACCCAAAGATTTTTCCTGTGGGGGGGGGGGAGATTTAGTCTACCTGTCTTGGCAGAATGAGAAGATCAATTCCCCAGAAGGTATCCAGGAAGCTAAAGAGGTGGAAGGCTGCTTTTTGCTGTGTAGGTGGCTTTGCCAAATCCAAAGGCAAGCCTGGAGGCAGGTCTTCTGTCTTCTTGGAGGAGTTAAAGGGTGCTGTAGAAGCTGCATGTCTGTGTTAGAAGCTCTTTTGTTAAATGCCATACCCTTAGATCTGTAAAGGCACTTGAGAATTGGGTACCATTTCCTTTCTATTTTAACTGGGCATATAAGCTAAATTTAGTTATGGGTTTTATTCAGTTAGTTACGTTTTACAGTGCCAGTAAATGTAAGAAGATTAAAAGGAATATTTTTATAAGTCAGAGAATACTAGCACACGTGGGTACTCTTACTCAAGATGGCGGAGAGGTCAAAATGGAGGCTACCCATGTGTTTTTATTTTTTCAAAGCTGCTGTAATCTGGAGTTATAAGTTTTACTGATCTTAACATTTCTATACCATTTTCTTCATGTAGCTACACTCATGCACCATAGCTATGATCATTTTCCTTCCCCCTCCCATAAACTTCCTTAGCTTTAGAAGGACACCATGAGCCTCTAACACACTCTGACTCCTGCTGTCTTATTCTGGGTTCTCTGCACAGCAGTGTTAGAGACAAAGACCCAAGTGAAAGTTAAGAAACTTGAATGAATAGAGAGTAAACAAGAGAGGTGAGATCCAATACAAAAAGCCTTACCAAATTGATGGCTGTTAAAGACAGTGGTTACTAATGGATGAAAGCATCACCCCAGTCTCTGACATTCATTCTTGGGGCACCAATGAAGCAGGAAGCTCCATTTCAAGTCCCCTCCCTTGGGAGTCGCTTTGGTCCAGAACCCCACCTCCAGGAAAACCCACCAAATGCTGACCCCTCCCCAAGGAAGGTCAGGACCACTTTCACAGGCTATTTAGGCGGCCGCAGAAAAAAGGAACATGTGTGTTTGGTCAAAAGTGAGATCCCAATCCCCTAATACCTCTATATCCAAAGAGGCTGGAATGTAATATTGAGTTGGAAGCATCACCCCAGCCTGCCAAGTGCTCAGACTCCAATTCCCAGCCTGCCAAGCTCTTAAACTCCAACTCCCAGCCTGCTAAACACTGACCCCTCCCTGGGGAGGGTCAGGACCACTCCCACAGGATATTTAGGGCAACAGGTGGTTTTGGGTTTGCATGTGCTGTCCCTCTGTCTTCCCCCTGTCATACTCCCGGCCATCTGGGAGTGCATCATTTATTAAACACGGACATTTGATTTGGTCTAATCTGGTGTAATTGGAGTTTGTTGGACCAGAGGAGAGGCCCGCTTTAAGATTTTCCTCTTTGGGTTTTTTTCATGGTTTCCCCTCACACTCTCTCTCCCCCTCATCATGCTCCCAGCCACCCAGGAGCACTGCATTTTTATTAAACATGGGCATCTTTTATTCGATCTAATCTAGTCTGATTGGAATTGTTTTCGGTGGCGGAGAGGCTCCTCTTAATATTATTCCTAACAGTTACTCCCTCCTGCAGGACTTTCTGGGAGCCCCGTGAAGGTCTTTAAGAACTTCCACCTGGGAGACAAAGCGGGAAGCAGCTACCCAGCTATTCTCAGCTTCTTGGGCCAAGGGTAGTCCCACAGACACCTACTTCCCCACAATTAAGGTTCTTCATGCTTGAGTACAGAACTTCCAAGGGTATTCCATGTCAAGACAAGAGGGGAGGCCTAGGTCAGTCAGAAGTCAACTTTGAAAACTGTAGGCTTAGTCAAAGATCTGCCTGGATCTGCCTGTGCAAAGAGATCCCCTGTCCAGCATGGCTGGCTGCCTGTCAATGGGTCCTCCCAGATTCCACATAGAGGGTCCCAGGCAGTTCAAACTGGCTGCAGATAACAGTTGCGGGTCGGCGGTGGGGCTGCAGCCTACTTTGTCCCATCCCTTGATGTTTTCATTGTGCTCCTTGAGCTACACCAGTTGTTGTAAGGTGAGTGTAGCCTGCCATCCTATGTGACTGTAGGGAGCACACTCTATGAGGATGGGCAAGATGCAAATGCAGCTAGGGTGATCTAGTAAACAGAAAACACGCCCCACCCCTCAATGCCTACTACATCTGAGCCAGACAGCTATAGTTATGGCAAAGAGTAACTCAGTATGAAAACAGAACGTCAGATCAGTGTAGAAGCAGTCAGGATGGCTCCCACACCACTGTTGAGACAGAGCTAGTGCCTGCCCCTTGCTCTTCCTCTTCTTAGATAGCCAAAACTCTCACCAGGGTTAGTTCATCCCTGTGGTGAGGGCAGCCTGCTGGGCGTCTTGCCCAAGTCACACTCTCTCAAAGAGCAAGGGAGCTTCCTCAAGGTTTTGGTAAAGGGAAGTTGGAAAGGGGAAATTCCGCCCCCCCTGCTGTATTAGTCATAAAGACGACAGCAAGAGGAGAAGGCTGTCAGTGGGCCCCACCTTTTGATTCTTAAGACACAAGAAAAAGACATCTTCTTCAGCGAATAAGTAAATACATTTATGATTTATCAACCGTGGGAAACCTTAGTAGAACAATTTAACACCAATCTGACATTTTCTTTTCCTTTTCTTTTTAAGACAACGGCTCCTATATCCCAGGCTGGCCTCCAACTTGCTATGTAACCCAGGATGATCTGGAACTTCTGATCCTCCTGTCTCCACTTCTCCAGGGTCACCACGCTGTTCATACCACTCTGGGGATTGAACTCGGGGCTTCCTGCATGGTAGGCAGACATTCTACTGACAAAACCGCCTCCGCAGCCCCAGCTTCACTGCTTTTAAAACAAGCATTCCATTGTGACTTGCCCTCAGAGGAGTCTCCTGAGATCTCTTGCTCTCACGGCTGTGGCATTTCAACACTCTTAGAAAATACCATCAGAATTCTTTTGTGTTTCCTGGATGCTAGCACATATTTCTATAGGCTGACCTTGAGTTTTTCTAATCAATAAAATGCTACTGGAAAAGTCTCTTCAAACTTACAGGCTAGAGCGTGGCTAGCAAGAGACAATCTGGTATGGCTCGGGGATAGCTCCAAAAGAGGAGATCCACACATCTGGCCAGTTGTAGATACGACGTCATTCATTTTCATTTCTCAATTTTGATACATTTACTGGAAAAAAAATAAACAAGCCTCTTCACATTACACAGCATAGTCTAAATACATAGTGTTTGTTGTGTGTCTTTTCTTTGCTCCCTTTTTACTGGGGCACCCCTCCGTTGGATGAAATCCTGTAGGACTTACTGTGTTTAAGACCTGAGGTTCTTGATAGCCTGTTAATATATAAAACAGTACCCTGGACAAATACATGTTTGCCAGTCCCTCTGTGTTTCTGCGTGTGACTGGGGGGGGGGGGTGGAGGGGTGGGAGGTGGGATTTAAGCTTTCATGGGCTGACTGATACTGAAGGGTTTCTGTGCTTTTCAGTGTTGTTGTTTTTGAAATGGGGTCTCACTGGGTTCTGATGTTAGCCACACCCCCAGGCAGAGAACCCTTTCACCCAACTGCTGCTAATTCTCGGAAATGTCCAGAGCAAGTCACCTCCCCTAGAGTCCCCTCCACCTTTAAATTCCCCTCGTGGCCACGCCCTGATTTAGAGGCCACTCAGATTGACTCTCACTCATCACTCCTCGCAGACAGGAGAGTTTTCAGCTCAGCTCACTGCAAACAACGACTCTTTATTAGTTTCTGTTTCAGGTTGTGAAACACAGCCTTCGGGGACTCAACAACGGTCCCATCTCTGTGGAGCCATAGAATTGTCTTCAGCATCTGCTTGGTGTGTGCCATCCAGGCTTCTCTACTGCTCTGTTTCCCGATTTTTGTGAGCCTAGGAGGTGCCCGGGCTCCCTCTGGCTCTAGCTTCCTGGCTTTCACCATCTACCCAAAGCATCTGAAGCTATGGGGTGCCGACTGAGGCAGGATACACCGCGAACCAGGTGTCCACTTCTCGGGCTCATTCATCTCTTTGTGCTGCCGGTTGGTCTTTTTCTAATGTCTACAGGTAAGGAAGGAACTTCCAGGAACTGACTTAAACTGAACGGGGTTTTGAGGAAGATGCTGTTCTCTGGGCTGGCTCCCTCGGCTGACTTTGTAGAGTCTCCTTCTGCTCACTTTGTGAACCGGAGGGATCCTTCAGTGTGTTTCCAGAATACTTTAAAGCTAAGAAAGTTTTGGTTCAAAGACGGTAAACGGACATACAGGTTCACAGAGCAAGTTAGAAACCAAGTTAAATCAAGAACTTCCACTCTAACATAGAAGTAGGGACAGTACTGTTTTAACAACACACAAATCCAGAGAGCAGCTTAGGGCCGTGGCCTCCTCCATCTATAATAGATGTTCATCACATCTTGTTATGTGTCTACAGCCTTGGTCTGGGATTCTGGTTTTCAAAGTATAACTATGACTATGACTATGTTATGACGACGCTACGGTATGACTCAGTTAATGTGGCCTTCCTCTAAGCCGAACAGCGGTGACTTTTTCCGTTTGGTGGGTAGTTGAGAAATGTTATCTTCTTAGTGTGAAATCTTTCTCTTCATATTTCTTCTCAAGCTTTGCTTTCTTCCAGTGTGTCAACACTGGCATCTGACTGCTAGGATGTAGTGCAAAATGATTTTTTTTAGTTGTTTCTGACGGGCTGTGTGTTTCCTATGTGTTCTTCAAAGAGCGCGTTGCTCTCAAGGTGATTCCGCTTCTGTGTCGGTGGTCTGAAGGGAGCTGGACTTCAGGCACTATCAGAAGGGGTGAGGGCTCTGCCCAGCTCATGGTTTTCTTGGGAACTGCCATCCACCATGTCCTGAATGACCTTTTTTAAAGGTCAGGAAACAAAAGATCTGCTTTCTAAGGAATAGCGTATAAACTGTTTCTCACAAACGAGGAGGAAGCCCGAGTGTCAGATGGCGATGCAGAAACTAGACTCTCAGAGGCCCTGGTGTCAAGTCATTCACCTAAAATCCTGCCCAGAATATCTAAGAATGTGAGAAACAAGAAGAGGGAAAGGAGGGGATGGAGGTACGCAGACCACCCGCTACAATAGTAGCAGTTTTAGGTTTTTCATCCCAAGTTGTGAGATTTGGTTGCAGAACCCAGAGAAGCCCGACTTAAGTGCCCATTCATACGTCAAGTTCTGGACATAGTCAGCACGTCCAACAACTACAGTTACAGTCTTTTTCTGGAGATTAGGGATGCACTCCCAAACTCTAGTCTTCTGGAGAAACTCCATACACCCAGAAATGGGGTTTGGGAGTTGATGGGTGGGGTGGAAAAACTCTTAAAAAGAGAGAGAAAGCAGGCAACATTTAAACCAAGCCTTGAGAATTGCGCCAGAAAGAGTCAGAAACCAAGCCTAGCTGATTCATTTTTAGCCATTAGGAAAGCACCATGCCCTACAGCTGCATGCACTGTCTACTGAGCTGAGCCCATGAACATCTTATTCTGAGAGTTCACCTTACCTCAGAAGTCGTTGAGCATGCGCTTCGTGGCTTCAAACATGTTTGCATATGTAAATCCTGGAACTAATCCCACAAGAAATATGAAAATAGGAGGACTACCAAAGCCCAGCTTCTGAGAAAAGAGGGGACAGGGTCGCTGGAGGAGTAGAGCTGACGGAGGCAGATGTAATAGAGGATTCTGGGCAGGGTGGCAAACTGGCAGACACCAGCACAGTATCCCTTCTCCCCATTTTAGGCAGAGTCTCGTGTAGCCTAGGCTGGCCTTTACCTCGTTAGGTAACAAAGGATGACTTTGAACTCTTGATCCTCCTGCCTCCATCTCCTAAGTGCTAGGATTCCAGATGCAGCACCTTGCCCAGGTTAGATATCAAATAGAGGGCATTCCGGGCAAGCACTTGGCCAACTGAGCTACACCATAACTGTCTAGCTCATTCTTTTTAAACATTTAATTCAACAAACACCAGGCAATTTTGGGGTACGAGGCATGTTTATTGGTCCCGGGAACAAATTTTGAGCTCCTTTCTTTCATGGAATTTATAGTCACTGGAAGAAAGAAGATGAATAATCTAATAATCATCGCATTAAATATGTGACGACCCCAGAGACGAGAACTTTGAAGGAAAGGTGGTGTTCTGAGGCGCCATTTTCGCCTGCTGCGGACCTGCAGACAGGCAGTGGTGGCGAGAGCAGGACCAGAAGGGCGCAAAGCCTAGGGCCTGGGCTTTTAGGAAATCTGAACGTTATTCACACTGCACAGGAGAGGAAGGGTGTAGAGGGGGAGGAGGCACGATCTATCTCAGTGCTGGCCATACATTAATTACGCATATTATCACCTGAGTGGGGGTTAAAAGGCTGTCCCTAGCACAGGGGATTTTTCAGAGAAGTGAAACTATTTTGCATAATCCTATAATGATGTATCTATTGATCGTAGACATTTCGAACCCATAGAAAGCCCACCTCCTAGAGGAAATACTACACCATGACCTGGGGTGAGGATGATATGTCAGTGTGACAAATGTCACACTCATGGGATGCTGATGATAGAGAGTACTCGGGACCGATCTGTGGGAATCCTGTAGGTTTGTCCACCCACTTCTCCTGGGAACCTAACACTGCTCTGAAAAATATTTTAAGGTATTTTGTTTTGGTTTTTAGAGTCAGGGTCTCACTCTGTAGTCCAGGCTGGCCTGGAATTCAGTATGTAGCTCAGGCTTGCCCCAAACTCCTGCCTCGCCTCCAGAGTATCCAGGATTACATAAGGGAGCTACCATGCCTGGCTTATGAATCTTACTTGAAAGGTTGCTTCTGTTTAGGTGGGCCTGAGCCAGGGCCTGAGATTCTACATTTCTAGTAAGCATCCAGGTGGATGCTGAGGCTGGCAGACTGACGGTACAGCCCTGTTTGAGAAGTAAGACTGCATGTAAATAATATTCAAAGAAAAACGGAAAGTCAGACGTGTTAACACAGGTGCCTAGCTACTCCGGAGGTTGAGGCAGGAGGATCAAAAACTCAGAACCTCAAGCTGGGTGGTGGTGGTGCATGCCTTTAATCCTAGCACTTGGAAGGCAGAGGCAGGTAGATCTTTGTGAGTTTGAGGCCAACCTAGTCTACAAAGAGAGGTCCAGGACAGTCGAAGTGGTCACAAAGAGAAACCCTGTCTTGAGAAACAAAAACAAAATTCAAGGCCTCTCTGTGCTATAGAGCAAATTCAAGGTTAGCATGGACAACTCAGTGAGACCCTGCCTTTAAATAGAAATCATGGAGTGGAATATAGCCCAGTGGATAGTGTACTTGCGCAGCCTACAAGGCTCTGAGCTTAGACTCTAGAAGGGTATAAACTGGGCACGGTGGCACATGCCCCTGATCTCAGCACTTAGGGGGCACAGGCAAAAAGATGAGAAATTTAGAATCACTCTATAGGGCATGGTGAGTTTGAGACCAGCCTGAACTACAAGAGTCTTTATTTAAAAAAAAAAAAAAAAGCTGCAGATACAGCCCAATGGTAGAGTGCTTGCCTAGCAATAGGAGGCTCTGCATTCAGTTCCTAGGACCGAACAACACACAAAAGTCTTGAGCTGGTGAAGCATGAGGAATGGCTCGTAGAACAGCACAGTAATTGTGCAAAAACCTAACAGGAGGCTGTTTCTGGAACCAAATGTATACAGTGATGTGACTGATGGTTTTGGCGAGGAGAGAGGGGTCGGGTGGGGGAAGGATGGACTGAGACATGAGCAATATGAAGCTGGTGAGAACTTGGCAGGTTTTGGTGAGGATAGGAGTGGTCCTGTGGTCCCTCAGGTCAGGCAAGGGAGGGCTGTTTGGGTTCTGTGGATGTGCCACACCTTCAACCCTAACCTGGGTCAGGAAGTCACGCCATGGTGACGTGGTCCCCTCTCCCCTTCTACTCTCCAGCCATTGGCTTTCAGGGCATGTGGGCCTTTGCCTTTCACAAGATAGGATCCAGCCACACCCTCTCCACCGCCAGGTTTCAGGCATGGTCTCTTGAGGCAGAAGCACATGACTGTATTCTAGGAGGCACCCATCAGGGAAGCCTAAGTATAAGTAGGCTGCCCTTCCTTCGGGGTTGGGATCCTTTCTGGATGACTCAGCTCTGAGGGCCTGGGAAAAGCTTTCTGCAGAAGTTGGATAAGCTGGATATGAATGCATTAGGAGCTCTGAGGTAGAGAGAAAGCAAGAGTCACAAAGAGTAATCCCCATCCACACCCTGCTATCCGAACACAACTGGCCAACACATCTCACAAGTTATAGAACCTCTGCCATCATTACCCTGATAACTGTAGTTCAAATATCAGCATCTAAGAGTTTTGAATTTAGGAGAAAAAAAATAAAGACCTGATTTCTACAGACTGTAAAGACTGTATCTAAACTGGAAGGAAAGTCAGGGGCAAGACTCAAATCTTCCCATGACTAGTGAGCCAGCACCCACCCTTGGACTGCTGGAACGCTGCACAGGCCTACCATCAGACCTGTGGAAATCACTAACGAAAAGTTTAGACGTGCCCCATAGTATCGCTTCCACAGAAAAGACTGTGTACAAGCATCAACTGTCTCCTAACATACACTAACCAGGCCCAACCCTTCTTAGCTTCCAAGATCAGTCGAGACGGGGCACGATTGGTGTGGTATGACTGCCGATCCGAATACTGAAATAAACATCTCCATGTAGTAGGATGATAAGTAGTATTTATGTCCCCCCCTTCATTCTTTTCAAATTTAATGTGATTTTTTTCTCTGGTCTTGGAAAATGTTTATTTAACTAGCACATTTATGCAATGTATATCACATCCCTTGAGTTATTTCATTTTATTTTGCTTTCAGTGCTGAGGATCAAACCAAATGTTTGGCAAGTGCACTACTCCTGAACTAACCTCCTCACCTGGTGGATTTATTTTATCTATCTATCTATCTATCTATCTATCTATCTATCTATCTATTTATTTATTTATTTGGTGTTTTGAGACAGGGTTTCTCTGTAGCTTTGGTGCCTGTCCTGGAACCAGGCTGACCTTGAACTCACAGAGATTCGCCT